TTACATCTTTGGTTTCAAAGTGGTGGTTACATATTTTAACAAAAGTTGGTTTTGGTTAGGTCCTAGGCTGAAGTGGGAAAGTGATGTTTACTAATGATAGCATCCATTTTGCTTAATTATTCATTTATTTAAGAAGTATTTACTGAGCAGATGTTATGTGTCAGGCTCTGGGGATACAATGGAAAACTGAAAGACACACAATCCCTGCTGTCTTGGAGCCAAGATTTTATGAGAAAGAGAGACTGATATTAATCAAAGAAGGACACTAATAAGTGAAAAATTATATAACTTTGCCAAAGACCATGAAGGAGATACACACAGCATTATGAGGGGGCTTTAACATAGTCAGAGAAGTAGAGGAATCTGAAAGAGGAATAGCAGAGGATAAAGAAGGCTAATCACATGAGGGTTTAAATGCCATGTTAAGAATTCTTTTTCTTATCCTAAATTTAATGGAAGTAGGGAATAGTGCATGTTGAGTTTTGTGTTTCCAAAAGCTTACTTATCTTGATGACCATATGGAAAGTGAATCAGAAGGAGACCAGGACATAAAGGGAGATGTTAAATGTCTATGATTTACATTGTATAAAATCCCAAAGGGTAGTCTCCATCATGATTCTTTCTTTGTATCTCAGAATAAAGTTAGATTGATGCCTTCTTCATAGACACCAAAAAAGTAGAGGGAGAAAGGACCCTGCCCCCCAAATACGCAAACCTTTCCTTTCAAAGTTAGTAGCAATACCAAGGACCAAGAGATACCATAGGCCTCTGAATTTATTCTTCTCCTTGGCTGATTTGCTGTGACCACAAGAGAATAAGGCTATCTATGTTTACTGCCTTATATTACGGGCAGTCACTTGCCCTCAAATTGGAGGGTTGAGTGTCAAGTCAATGACCTAGGCTCATAAAACCTCACTGGTTATTATACTGATAGGGCTAGGCTACAATGCAATTAGAGTTATGAAACTCACCTGTAACACTAGGTCCAACAAAACCACCTCTAGCTAGAGAGCGCTCATGGCAACAAAAGAGGCAAGGTGGCTAGTTTATTCATATTTCCTCCTGCAAATATTATTCAACTCTTATTATATAGTAGGTACCTCCTAAGTTTTAAATGGTGAACTAAGTCCAGCCTTGAGGGGGACATCTGCTACATCATGTGGTTTAAAGGGAAAGGCTAACACTTATGAACTTACTGGGTACTTGACATTTTATATAGATTATCTGTCATCAATACAACTCTACAAAATAGAAATTGTGATCTCCACTTTGGGAAAGTTAGGTTTGAACCTAGATCCATTTAACATGCAGCCCTTGCCCTTCCATCACACCACACGCTATTCACCAAGGAGACCCCTTTCAGAGATAGCTCCACCAAAAGGGGAAGGTGGCAAGATTCACCCTCTCTCCAGTGCCTTCTTTTTAAAACCACAGCAGAGCTTCTGAATCTCAGCACTATTGACATTTAAGACTGGAGAATTCTTTGTTGCATGGGGCTGTCCTGGGCATTGAGGATGTTTGGCAACATCACTGGCCTCTATCTACTACTTGCCAGTAGTATTCCACTTGTAGTGACCAAAACTGTCTCCAGACATTGCCACACGTTCCTGGGGAGCACAATTGTCCCTGGTAGGGAAGCACTAGTGCAGAATACAAGCAAGAGGTCAAAGGACAGAACACTGAGGTGCACCAATATTTAAAAGGAAAGAAGAGGAAAAGAAATTATTGTGAAAAACCAAGAGAGGAGAGTTTCAAGAAATAAATGGTTGACAAAACTGCAATGAGGTACCACCTCACACCGGTGAGAAAGGCCATCATTAAAGAGTCTACAAATGACAAATGCTAGAGAGGGTGTGGAGAAAAGGGAACCCACCTGCACTGTTGGTGGGAAGGTAAATTGGTGCAGCCACTGTGGAGAACAGTATGGAGGTTCTTTAAAAAACTAAAAATAGAATTACCGTATGATCCAGCAATCCCACTCCTGGGCATATACCCGGACAAAACTATAATTCAAAAAGATACATGCACCCCTATGTTCAAAGCAGCACTATTCACAATAGCTAAAACATGGAAATAACCTAAATGTACATTGACAGATGAATGGCTAAAGAAGATGTGGTACTTATATACAACGAAATACTACTCAGCCACGAAAAAGAATGAAATAATGCCATTTGCAGCAACATGGATGGACCTAGAGATTGCCATACTGAGTGAAGTAAGTCAGAAAGAGAAAGACAAATACCATATGACATCATTTATATGTGGAATCTAAATTATGGCACAAATGAACCTATCTACAAAAGAGAAACAGACTCACAGACGTAGAGAACAGACTTGTGATTGCCAAGGGGGAGGATGGTGGGGGAGGGTGGGATTAGCAGATGCAAACTAGTATATAGGGAATGGATACACAACAAGGTCCTACTGTAGAGCACAGGGAACTATATTCAATATCCTGTGATAAACCATAATGGAAAAGAATATGAAAAAAAGAATGTATGTGTATAAGTGAGTCACTTTGCTGTACAGCAGAAACTGGCACAACATTGTAACTCAACTATACTTTAATAAAAAAAAATTTAATTACATAAAAAGAAGAAAGAAATGGTTGACAATTCCAGAGAACTTACATAAAATATGGATAGAAAGGAAATATTCTTTGAAATTGGTAATAAGGAGGATCTTGGTGACCTCAGGGAGATAAATTTCAGGGAACTAAGTTTCAGGGGACAAGGAGGGGAGGAGGCAGAAGCCTAGCAGTGACATAAGTGGAATGCATGGGACAGAGCTAGTGAGAGCGGCCTCTTCTTTCAGTAAGCTGGAAAATACTGCACAAGTGATGCTGTGCAAACTCTGGGCGTAGAACTGAAGATATTAGAAGTTTCTATTTTCTGTATCTTGAAATACTCTCTCTGGGAGCCCCAAGCCACCCTATGAAAACCCACCACCACACTGTGGTCACAGTCTCAGCTGAACCCAGCCTGCCTCCCATCCCTGCCAAGTGGCAGACCTGCAATGGAAGGCATCTTGGGGCTCTAGACCAGCCCACCCACCAGCTGAACACCCTTAAGTCACCTGTGTCAAAGCTACTTGGAGCAGAAGTGCCCAGCAGAGTCCTGCCTAAATTCCTGAGCCACAAAGTCATGAGATACTATAAAATGGGAAGTTTTAAAATGTTCTTTTACCCAGCAATATATACCTGGACCAGAGTGCAGTGCTAATCCCAGTTGTCTTCTTCCAGTCATGAGATTTAAGGAAAAAGGATGTTAAACTAACTGTCATCCTGTTGCCACTGCTCTGAGAGTAACTTTGAAGGATATTTTGTGTCATTAGCAGGTGATGGGCAAGTACTCAGACTCTAGAGTCCCACATACCCACGTTTACATCTTAGTTTCTCTGCTTCCTAGCTGTGCAAAATTCAGTGAGATATATTTATATAAAGTTATATTTATTTAAACTTGCATAGCGCCTGGCACAATAAATACTTGGTAAAGGTTAGCTCTTATTTAAACAATGAGTTTTTCCATCAGAGGGTAGCAAATCATCACATTTTTTATCAAATGAGCCGGACTTGGACTCACTTCATCCCTCCCAACTAGCAGGACCAGTGAGAACCTTCTTCCCTCACTTTCTGCTTCTTCACAACCACAACCACAAGTCTGTTCTTATTGGTCTTCTGGTGCCTTCCTCTGCTGCTCACTGTTTGACCTACAAACCTTCACACACACACACACACACACACACACACACACACACACACATCACATGAGAAAAACCTCTAAACCACAAGTTCTTCTGCAGGAAATGTGAGTATTAAAGGATTGACTTCTGAATGTCTTTTTAGCAACCACGAAACTTTCAGTTCCAATTTGTGTGACATGTGAATCGCTCCTGTTGGAAATAACTGGAAAGAAAGAGAGAACTAGGTGCTGGGAAAAGCAAAGAAAGAACAAAGGCAAAGGAGGAGTAGAAGTTTTTATAGTGAAACATTAGGAATTCTGAAGGAAATTGAAAAAAAGACACCTATTTATGCCAGAAAGCAAAGGTCTAAGCTGTATATGAACAGGGCCAGGGGTAGAGTGGAGGCTGGAATCCTGGCTATTGAACAGATATTTCAAATACACAAAATTAGTCATGAAGGTCGCCCAAGGCTTTTTCCATCTCAGGGACCCAAACTATGCTGCATTTCTGAAACCATAGGGGACCCAAGATCTTGGAGATTGGAGTTAGTAGTGCTGAGTCGTAACATTAACAAATATTGAACAGGTAGAGGACAAGACACAGAGAGCAAATGCCTCCTAACCAGCATACCAGCATAGTACCTGAAAAAAATGTACAAACATCTCATTGATCTGCTCCATGAGGGAATTCCTACAAAGTCGCTAATAAGCAATGGGTGTTAAGATAAAATTAATTACACAGCACCCATCATAACGAATTTAAATGGGTGAAAGGTCACCAGAAACTTTCATGTGCTCTTTACTGTTTTACCTTCACAAATATAAGAATATGAGGTGAGTGACAACCTCTGGACTTTAACCGCAATTTTCATACTGTTAAATGTTCCTTATCTTCCATGGGCTTTTTGAGAAGAAAACTGAGGATCAGTGCATGTGGAGGGCAGCTGGGGGAAGGGACGATCCTAGGAAGGCATGGACTTAACAGAATGGTAGCCAGTAGCCAGGAAACCCGTCAGGATCCTTGCAGCACCATGGGTGGGAACATGCCGACTTTGTAGAAATAAATTGATTGGATGCCTTTTGAGTCAAAGTACTTAAGATGTGTCTGCCTTGCTGAGAACTATTCCTTGTGACCACAGGGCACACAGCCACAGACCAACCGTTTCATATTTCCAGTGGTTCCTGTGAGCACTAAAATGTCTCCACTCAGCCCCATTTAGACCTCCCTCCCACCAACCAGGGCTTTTCTTGGCAGGGGTCGAGGGTGAGTGGGGAGTAGGAGGGAGAAAAGCCGGATCGCACGTTCATAAAGGGACTGAAATTTATATTTTTGACATTTTCTTCAAATAAAGTTATAGAAACACTATACTTTTGGAAGGATAATATATTAATTTTTAAAATTTAAACAATTAAAATTTACCATGTATGTATACCCCTGTTTTGGCATCTCCTCTTTCGTATTTAAGGATCCTCAGAAATGGGAGCACTCTAGGTTCTTGTTCTTTCCATCTCTGGGAGGCCCTGCCCAACCCGACAATCACCTATAGCTCTTCTGAAACTTTTAAATGGAAGCCTAGATAGATGCTAAGCTGAAGATGGGAGTGATAAGGGAATATGTAATAGGTACAGGCAGATGCAGAGGAAGATACTAAAATCTATTCCACTGAGCCCCAGTAGAAGGAATATCCCTCAAGAGCTGGCACTCAATCTTTCATCTCTAAACCCCTAATTCATGGTATAGTGGCTAGAACAGAGTAGGAGCTGAATGCATGTGTGTCAAACGGGTGAATGAATGAATGAATGAACCACAGAAACCTGCACAGATTATTCTTTATGCAATATATGATACTGTCAAATCCAACTGCCTGCAAGGGAATCATTTGTCTATGGAGTAGGCAAATTTTCAGTCCGAAGCTGACTTCAAGCCATTGCTCAGACCAAGTGTCCAGCTAAAAGAACATAAATGATTTTTCATATCCTACCAAGGAAAGCATACGTGGGAGAAAGAAATCCGCAGCTGGAAAAATCAGAGCATATTCCAAGACCAAAGAGAAATTCCTTTTGGATTGTCAATTATTTGGGATTACCTGGGCCTGGGTCACAGACCATTGGTGTGGATAATCAAGAATTGACTACAGATGTGGATGTTAAGCCTGCCTGGCTCAGACATCCCCCAGTGGCCCGATCACAACTTCCTCCGCTGCCCATCACACAGAGCCCAGGGTAGAAACGGAGGTGTAAATCCACAGCAAGGCTGGAGGCAGGGACCTCCTACTAATACCCCCAAAATTTAGAGTTTCCCCTAGAGCTTCAGGGATAAACTAGGGTTTGTTATAAACTCTGCAGCAAAGGTACACAGGAGTGAGGGCATCATAGAGAAGAGAATCAGAAATTGTCCATTTGCTGCCTTTTCCTAAGTTACTACAACCTCCTAATATATCATGTGTATTAAAAGCAGGGACAACTATGAACGAAGTTGAAGAGCGGGTACTCTGCTCTGGGCACTGCTGCCGCTTGTCGTCTCTGCTTTGTCCCTGACACTTGGCCTCCCCTCGAGTCCACGAGTTGCTCAAGGTCTTTTCCTGACAGCTCCCCCTGTGGGTGATCTACATTCCCAGCCTCTTCTCCTGCCCCATAACCAATTTCCTGCTGCACGCTCTAATTCTGCCAGAGACCTGCCCTCAGCTCTCAAAGGTTAAAGCTAGGATAACTTGATAAATTAATCTGGGCTTTCAGAGTAAAGTGTTAATGGGCACTCCTTCTAACAAGAGTTTTCAGAAGAACTTTCCCTATATGTGTTGACTTATCTAATGGAGTGGCTCAGAAGGAGGGCAGCAGGTGTGGAAGGTTGAGTGGCATCAGCCAGAGAGAGAATATTTTGGGGTCTGTGGACTGGGGCTTTCAAGACTTCTGGTTTTCTATGACTGCATCTGCCTATAGAAGCAGGTGATGAGCAGTCTTTCCTGTACTGATAGGACAAATCTAGGGTGTCACTTGCTACTTTTCTACCCCAGGGAGCACCTGAGGGCATTTTAGAGGCATTCTGCTTCGTTATTCAAGTTTCGTGAGAATATTTAAGCAAACACAAAGGGAAACAACTTGAGAAAATATGCTTAGCATCATAATCAATAAGAGGAAGAGACCCACCATGAACTAAGAATTCTGTAGCCCATTCTAGTGAGGGAGAGCACGGGAAGCACATAAACAGAGAGTCTGCCCCTGGTTGAGCTTTATAAAGGAGTTCTTAGCCTCACCAGAAAGAGTGGGATAATTTATAGGCTAACATTTTCTTTTAATGTGGATAGCATTTTCCTCATTTATAGTTAATTAGGTTAAGCATGCATGGGGAGCGAGGGAGAAAGGCTTTTACTGATGCTCTCAATGAGTAGTAATTTGAATAAAGTAAGGAACCTCTAAAAGATGGAACACTGCCACACATTGGCCGGTCTCTCTTCTAAGTGCTAGAACCAGCCCCCTCTGGGGTTGAACCAGACCAGTTTCAAAGAAATTGTGGTCATTAAAGCATTAAGATAAAAAGATACAGACTGTGCTAAATATTTTAAACTGGTTTTAAGCCATATGTGTGTATGATGTAAGTGACATTGAAACAAATGACTGAAGACCGAACATATCGGATATTTGGTGTCCTGGGAGCCACCATGTTGCGCTTTGGCCCTTGGGTCACACCAACTTGCCAGGACCCAGAGATAAAGTGGAAGTGATGGGCAAAAAGCATCCTATCTTGAGCTTCAGTTTCCTTATCTGCAAAATGGAAATAATAATAGTCCCCCCTTAGCGTTGCCATTATGATTAAAGACAATATATGTATTTTACCTAATGAATAGTGGGCACCAATAAGTTAATATTATTATAAGATCAAAACCATTCCTTTTTGTTGGACTGTTTTCAACATTTTAGGCATTACTTGTCTTCTTCCTCTTAACCAATCCAGACCTTTTCAGCTTACAGAGGCTATTGCATGCAAACGAGATGAAACTCCTTATGCATACAGTTTACCCTAAAGGCTAATCCAGCTGGAAGCGTTCCAAGTACTGTTTCTTTACCAATAATTTTCAACAAACAAAAATATAAGCAACAGAAATTCTTTACCAAGGTTTGCAGGATATCGTCTGTTTCTATCACTCTGCATTTGCTTTAGGCGTTCCTGGCATATCAATAAACCTTCATCCTCTTCGCATAGACAAGGTGAGTGAAGAGAGCCCAAGGACCTTGGTCTGGCCCTGGCTTCATCACCCCTTCCCTGTGCAGCAGTCTTCAGACTCTCTGGACCTCCGATCCACTCTCCATAAAATGCAGACTGTCTTCACTAAGTAAATAAAATAAATGAAATGAATTAAAACTCTCAATTCATGGGTCAAAGAATTGTTTTTCTAGACACACAGTTTTAATGGCTTAACTGGACCACCCTCTCCCCACATGTCTCTGGCTGGCTTCTCACTGGACTCCTTCTCCTTCATCAGCCTCCTGGTGAGAGGAATGGTGAGATTTTGAGTGGCTTTGGAGCCAGGTAGGCTGAAATCTGAATCACAGTGCTTCTGTTTACTGGCCACATGAACATCAGCAAATTGCTTATCAGTCCAGGGCCTCAGTTTGTCCCCCTCTAAAACTGGCTGAAACAGCACAGAGCCCACTCCCGCTGTCAGCAGGAGAATAAAATAAGGATAAAAAGGGCCTAGCACATAGTTGGTACGGAGCAACTTTTAGTTCCTTTCCTTTCAACAATCAAACAGGAAAAGTGGCGGATTTTCAAGACCCCTTCCCCCCATGAACTCTCACACGGGCCCCTGAAAATAGTCAGTGAAAAAATTATTTTCAGTTGTCTCTAAACACACACACACACACACACACCCCGCCCCCTAAACTTTCTCCCATCTTCCCCCCTTTCCCTGGAAATGAAACCTGCATGAAACTGAGGCCCACGCAAGAGGAGACCTTTTAAAAGAGGCAGGTGAGGAGGGGTCATTGCTTTCCAGAATCTCAGCCACCTCAGCCCCTTAGGCCACTGGTCTGATGAGAAAGAAGGCGATTCTTTTTTTCCATTGTTTTAATTTAATTCTAATTGAATGTATGGCTGGAGATGCCTTAAAAGGACTCTTGTTTTACTGGTTAAATGTCCTCAGGGAGTGTACCCCAAGACCTCTCTCTTTGTGATAACTTATTCTGGTCAGCTGAGCTGGGGTCTCTTTATTACATCTCCCGACCACCCCCCTCCAAAGCCCCAGCAGGAGGGGCCCCCGCTGCAGTTGCTGATGACTAGAGAATTACTCAAGTGTGAACTGTTTCACTGTCTGTCACTTTGCTCATTAGGCAAGTGAGAAAATGTATCTATGGCTCTGTCTCACGGTCCTCATTAGCTTGGTGGTTCAGTCTCACTTCCCTTATTTATTTTAAAGACGAAGGCGTAAGAAACAGTCTTCCCTTGGTGTTCCTCAGTATAATTTTAAGAAGCAAAAGCCTGGATAATCTTATTATCTTCCCAATAATTGTGTTGTTCAGATGATAGGGAAAGGGTAATTGCCTCTACTGCATTTCCAGCCAGGGTATCCGGGTGCAACTGTTTTAGTTGTACTAAGGATTGAAGTCCTCAGCATTGAGGTAAGATCATGGTGTTTTTGGAAAGATAATAAACAGATACTCCAACGAGCCTGTACCCTGAAAATGTTGTCTTATTTCTTTCCAATACTCTAGTCCCTGTAGGTTAAATATATATGTATATAAAATTAACATGTACATTATATATATATATATATTATTAACATATACGTATATTATTATTACCACCACCTTTGTGTTAAATGTAATTCTGTTTCCACCTGGAGAATTAGCAAAAGGATCGTTTTTTTTTTTTTTTGGTGGAGGCAGTGATATGGGAGGGATATACAGGGTATATTTAAGATTTGATTTTTATGAACCATTCTGTACAGGCATTCATGGTTGTTTATCCTCCCTAGATTTATTTACTGAGATGGTGAAACAGAGCTGAGATCACCTAATATCGTTCAAGATTTTGACATTCTGGTTGCCTTCCTGATAGAAGTGTGTCAGCCTATTTCTTATGTGCTGCACTTGACTTAGGGTGTTTAGAATCCAGTTTTGTTCAGCCACATAAACGTTGTTCCAAATTCATTAGCATCTGTGTGGAGTCCCAGCCACAGATACCCTGTGGCTGATGATTTAAGTGGGGAACATCCATCCCACAGGGCTAAAAGACAAAAAAAAGAAAAGCTATGTTCTTTTCTTTATCTAAATGTAAAACTTCTCACATGCATGTAGCATGTTAGAGTTGGCATTAGCTGTTAGCATCAGTTCACACATACTTCTGCATGACCAAAAAAAAAAAAAAAAAAAGATGAAGTAGACCGGTAAATATGCAGATTATGTTTCTGTTTATTGCATTTTCAAATCTAGAGTTTAAAGTCTAAGAAGTGTGGAGAAAGAGGCATTCTCTTATTTTTTTTAAAGCTTGATTCTTTTAATAACAATGCCAGCTAAAATGCCTGATTTTCATCTCCCTCAACCATTTTCTTCATTCAGAGAAATGAGAATGCACGTAAACCATTCAAGGGAAATATAATGCATTATTATAATATGACTTGGCCTAAGTAGCTAATCACTTTTTATTAACACTTTTTGGCCCAGGGAGTTGGGATTTCTCCAAGCTGACTGTCAGGTTAGGGATTCTGGGAGTCTATATTAGTAATTAGCATTACAAGATCTTGACTCCTGGGGTGATTCAAATTAATACAAAATAAAAGTGCAAATTTCCAAATAGCTTTGAAAGCCATATCTATTATTAAATTTATGTTATTAAAGCCCTTTCCAGCCAGTATGACAGGGATCCAAAGCAGAGAGTTTCCTTAAATATCTGCACCACTCATCTTGGACTCTTTAAAATTAAATAAAAGAGCATACAATGAAAGATCAAAAGAATTTTCTGTACAATTGAGTTACGCCTTGGCAGTAAAGTTTTCCACCAAACCAAATCCCTACAAAGCGATATGAGTTTCATGGTCACAGTTGCTTTTGGACTTTCCTTGATACGTTTGGCAGCTATCTTGAGAGCATCCAAAGAACCGCTGGCAGCATCAATCACTCATTTCATAAGCAGGCGCTGAGGCGACAGGAGGGCGCTTGGCATATTACCATCTCTGCACTGCGCAACCCCTCCCGGCAGGAGCAAAGAGAAACGAGAAACAGTACAGCATAGAGACATTCTGTAGTCCCCGTCTTCGAATCAGGTCCTGCTAATGTGTAAATAACCCGATTTCTCTAACCATGTCTTTAGCAGACTAAGTGGTTAATTGTTATTGATCAGCTCTGCCCATTGTTCCAATATCAGTCATTATTGAAAATAATCTCAGTATCCTTCATTAAGCATGCATCTGTTTCCATGGGAATGCATTTTTAACACAGAGAGCTACTTGAGCGTTATTGGTTTCACTGGTTGTACGGCACTGAGGGCTGTGGTCGCCCAATCTGTCATAGTTAATCAACTCTCATCTCTTAACACTGGCTGCAGTTATCAATGAGCTAAGGATTAATATTCTGGGCGAAGCAGATGATAAATCATTTGTATATAATTAGTGTACAGCAAGGTTACAGCTGACATGAATTTTTATCTTAATTATGAGAGAAATTTGTTCCATTAATTTAATTTAGTTTGCATGAGTGGCTAGACACCTAACAAAGTTAATCTTACACCTGTCATTACAACATTAAGGAGAGAGCCGAGTGTGTGGAGGCTCCCGTCTCGGGTTCTTCCGCGATGAGGATAATGTTGTTCATCTTGATGTGAAAATAGATGATCGTAGACAGAAGATATAAAGTCGACTCTTTTTAAAGTTGTCCCAGGGGATTTATGGGAGCATATCGAAGCGACTCAACAGCCATTGCTGCACTTTGGATACCACTGTCCCCTTTCAAAATTACCTCTCTCCTGCCTTGTAGATCAGGTGGAAAACACCAGACACAAGAAGAGATGTGTTATGTTTTTAATGCATATGTGTTAACTTCAAACCTTTTGACCAAAGAAAGCTTTGTCCCATGACAAGCTATTACTGCATTTGTATCAAATGCAATGAATGAAGAAATGTCTGCTGTTGAGGTTGTCTATTCTAAGTGCTTAGTGTTTATGTTATAATTGAATAGAATAATTCACATCACTCGATCTACTGTACAAGTGGTAATTATGCAGGCATCACGAAGGCTTCAGAGTACTGAAGGAAACTTAACCCTGTACTACTTATCCAAGTTATTACTAAGTCTGATCAATCATATTTGATTGATAGATTAGGTGGGACTGTTTATGCTGCAGAATGTGATGTTCTTTATTTTCCTAATGATTAGCTACACATTTAAGGTTAAAAAAAAAAAAAAACTGGCTTATTTAACCTGGCTTATTTAAAATGGTTTCCTTATAGACTTACCTCTGTGATAAGTATTTGACCCTGGTTGTCTGATCTGGTGTAGGGAAAATCTTTAAAGGGGTGGGGTGGGAGGAGTCGCAAAGTCACAATACAAAATCCTTGTACACAGTATGACTGAGGAACAATTCCGGTGACGTTGAAACAGAACTAAAAATGGGCTCGTGAGAGAGCCCATTTCTGAAACGGCGTATTTGTAATATAAGTTCTGGCATCCAGAGGAGTGGGCCTTTGTATTTAAGAACCCCCAAATCAGCCTGAAACTGAAACGCTAATTGCACAGTAACTCAGATTAATGTATTGTAATGTTAGTCCACAATTATCACTTGGAGATAGGGTCAAGAAGTATATAGTTGGTTATTCACAAGAAATGACTGATTTAAAAACAAAAAGCTCTAATGGAATTCAATAGTGCTTTTCAGTCATTCTGCTTGGCATCTCTATTACCTGAGATGATTCACAGTCCATTATGGGAGCTTCCATGCTAATAGAATGTCTATCTTCTGTAATACAGACACATCAGAGCACTAACTAGGAATCTGTCACAATGAATTTCATCTAGATTTCACTTCATCTCTTCATGGACTGTAAAATTTGCTCTTGTACAATGCCTAAATTTACTGTGGGTAATTGAGAGAGATCTATAGATGCAGCAGCGCTCGGTAAAAAGCAGTTTTCCAAAGACCTATTGTAAATTGTGCAGCTTTGCCTCAGCTGGGGAAAGATTATGGTGATCTGAATCTTGCCTTTACTAATGAGATGTTTTGGTGAGTTCAAAAGAGAGGTGGGGGGCGGAGATGCTTTAGAGGATTCTGCCACATGGAAAAAGGAAAACAAGGAAGACTCCTGTCTTTCATTCCCAGGAAAGCTTTGCAAACGGGAC